CCACAGAGCCCTGTGAGGGCTACTGTTTATGTGAAGCAGCCATGCCAAACAGTCTGATGGGGCCAGTTGAGGATAGTCAGACAGCTAGGAGCTGGCAGCCAGTTGCATCCAGGCTATTGGGGCAGCTGAGGCTTGTATGGGCAGCAAGCAGACAAACTCCTGATAAGTCTCAAATGTCAGACCTTCCAGTTTCATAAAAGAGGCAGAAGTCTTTTGATTAGACAACTGTTCCACTGACATGATTTGATGCTGATGAAGGGTTATACAGAGTTCCCCTGGTCCAGAAGGATTTTTGATTGGTATACTGATTTATGAGCTTCCGTTTAAAAATTGCCCTGTCCTACAAGAATGCAGTGACTCTTGGGGTGGAAAACAGTAGCTATTCAAATCATAAGGCAATGCTGCAAAGAAGTCAGGAGAGCAATTGAAGAGTATAATACTAAGTTGCAAAGGCAAGTGAAGCTGAGGCAGCATGTAATAGTCTAAATTGGAGTTGCACCAGAGTTATGGGTTATCACTCCATTTTGTATGAAAGATGACTGATGTGGCTGGGGGAAGGAAGATGATTTTCATTAGTCCAGAGACGGTGTAATCATTTACTCGAGTATAAAGCAATTGTAAAGTACAGTATTACCATTCCAGTCAGCTGGGATTCCCCACAAGAGCTGGGATAGTAGAGCATTAGACTCAAGATCAAGCCCACAGGTGGTCAAGAATATAATTTTGTATTTTTTCTTGCCTGAGGGACAACTCTGTTCTGTGTTGCACCAGGACTTACTTGCTTGTCCCTGTATATCAGGGGTGGGCAATTATTTCGGGTGGAGGGCCGCTTACAGACTTTTGGCAAGCCATCAAGGGCCGCATGACAGGCAGCCAGGGGCAGATAAATATTAATTTTTTAGGGGCCCCGTGGGCCGGATAAAATGGCCTGGCAGCCACATCCAACCCACAGGCCCCATTTTGCCCACCCCTGCTGTATATGATCTAGCATAAAATAACATGGATAAAAGCAGGTTTTCTGGTAGGCTCCTAGTTGTAGGGTGAGATTTGCAAAGTTACCCTGGCTCTTTGGTGTCTTCACTTCAATTGACAGTCAGTAGAAACTGAGCACTTTACAACTTTTTGTGCCTTTGAAAATCTAGCTCCTGGCAGAATCTTTGTATAAGACATTTTTTAAAGGATAGTGACTCTATTTCAGAAAAGGCTTACAACAGAAATCTAGTTTCCTTAGCTATAATAATCTTTCCAACATGTACCTAGGAGTTATGTAACATTTGGAAATAATACAACCTTATTTTTGCATTTACATATCCTGTCAATTAATTCATTTGGGGATTTTGTATTAACGAAGGTCATAAAGGAATATATTGAAGAAAAAAAAATGTAGCAAGCCAGGCAGACAGTGTGCTGCTTTAGGAAAGAGACTTATCATATATTAGGAATGTGTTGACTTATTTGGATATGATGACCAAATAAACAGAAATATAATAATCCCTCAGTCAAATGAGGAAATATTTGCTTTACTTGCCATTTAATATTTTGGTCATTTTTCATATGCAGTGTATGATTTTTTTTTTAAACCAAACACTTAAGACACTTCTCTCAACACTAGACCAGTCCAGGGTAAGGTAATAACTGTGGACACATACAAGTGTCATATTTAGATCACCCTAACTGAGATTAGACCTATCTGAATGTCTGGGTGTGCAAGTGTTCACAGTGCGCAGGTTGCCCTCAAAATGCTGTGCCCAATCTAAGCTTTAGATCAGCATGGGTTAACCTGGCTTAAAATGGATTAACCCAACCTAATGAATGCTCTCAAGCACCCCAGCACAGCCCCAGGACTGGGAGAGCCTAGCCCCATTCTTGGTCCTGTGCTCTGTTTACCCCCTAGCCCTGACAAGCCTGTTTTCCCCCTGGACCTGCCAGCACCCCCATGACTTGCCTCCAGCTGCCAACACATCTCCTCCTTGCACATCGTTAACACTTGCACATGGTCATCCAAATTCAGGTGTAGTTGACTTAAACTGAGCCACCTCAACCTAAGCTGGGGCCCTTGAAGGCTTATTTGCCTATCAAAACAGACATTCTCATAATGGGAAGATACCACAGCAACACTTGTCCATAAGACTTAGCAGCAACCTATCATGTAAAAAAAAAAAAAGACAGCAATATGTCAGTGAAATAAAGTGTGGCTATACTCTGAAATCTGACTAAATTATATCTGTTGAGATTCCACAGTCTCTTTATTCTAGTTATTCTTTATCTACCCTAAAAAAGAAGAATTCACCTGAAAAGGGAGAAGTGCCAGAGACACTGTGACATCTTCTGAGGACTTGGTTATTGATTTGACATAGAAGGTGCTCAGATCCTACAACAATAGCTGACAATTTAAAACACTGAGATAAATATGTTGAATAGTTTGTCTGATTTAAAGTCAAAATGATTCTATTAAACTGCTAATCCAAAAAACCAATGTAGGGTTTTCAAAGTCCAGCCATGTCATCTGGGTCTTTATGTTATCTCTAATAAATAGATTCAGTAGCTGGCTCCTTTTTTCTAGTGCACAAGGCTGAACAGAGTCTAGACCAGTGCTTTTCAACCAAGGGGCCATAAGACCCCTTCGGGGTGCCCTGACAAAAGAGCTGTTGCTGTGGTGGCAGCCAGGTAAAACTGCCCCACTCACAGGTTTGCAGCACACATGCACCCACTCTCCTGCATTAAGGTTCTCTGATAACCCTAAAGCCAGGAATGGATCTGGGGGGGAGGTCAGGGAGAAGAATCCTTTTGATTCCTGCTCCACCCGAAGTTTAAAACCAGCTGCCTGGCTGTGCCAGCAACATTTCTAGTCAGGCAGTGCTGAGGGAGGTGCTTGAATTTATGGCTCATTATAATCCACTTGGCCCCTTCTGCACACTTGATTCCACAGGTGTTAAGGACTCTCTCTCTTTTTAAATGGCCTTGATGTTCCTCTAATCAGGCTATTCTGAGTTCTGCAATTCTGCTGTCTGTTAGCTGCTCCTGGTAATGAAGCCTCTGTTTCACAGCCCTGCAGATTATTTTTAACTCATTCTAATGAAGTTATATTTGCTTTTGCTTCAATCTTAATCTGAATAACAGCCGTAGGTCCCTAGCATATTAGTAAAGATTCTAGTTAGTTTTAACTAGAGAAAAATGTGTTGCTTTATATGTGATAATGCACCTTACCATCTGCCCCCTCCTTTTCAAAATTCTAGACCTGCCCATACCTAAAGCAGGTAGGAGACCTTCCTTGTGCTGCAGCTCTTCCTGGTCTACCCCTTTCCCCCACTTTTCCCAGAAACAGAGGCAAAATGGATGTTTCCATCTGTGTCATGTGCCTCTATTTCTGGAAGATGCTATGCACGGTTTGACTAGAAAGTGCTGCAGCATGAGGTAGCTCTCCTGTCTGCTTTAGGCTTATCAGAGAACTCTGATAAGGCAGGCAAGCACACGCTTGCCACAGTGCTTCTCAGTCTGTTTGTGCAGGGGATATGGGGCAGTATTCTTTGGTGGCAGTGGCACCTGGTTGAGAACTTCTGAGGTAAGTTGAGACAGCACCAACAGTGTGGTTCTCAGTTGGGATGACACTGCATTCAAAAAACTTGTGGAGGGGAGCCCTGACTCTGAAAGGGTTGAGAACCACTGATCTAGACTACTGAGTCATATGAATAGGAACGGCATCACTGTACACTTGTCAAAGAACCTGTATAACTCAAAAGACATTGGGAGCACAACAGTGGAGTACAAAAAGTGCCATTTTATAGTAGCAACTTTTTTAAGGTAACCGCAGGATTTTACCTCTATTTTAAAATTAATCATAGCGAATTAAAGTCCCACTTAAAGCATCTACACTTTGAAGTTGTAGGAAAAATACATACTAATTAGTATTTTTATAACCTCGTGTGTCCCTGAGATGTACATAAAGAGGCATTCTACCATGCAAAATGGAACAGTCAGCCACTTCATCAGCATCGGTCGATATTCTCTATTTAATATAAATAGTTCCTTGTTACCTGGGTATACATGAACTGGAGGCAGAGGGACAGGCAGACAGTGACAGAGACAAGAAAATGCATGTTTTTTACTCCTTTTCCTCAAGCCCTTTGAATCAGCATAACAACAATCAAAGCCTAATGTAGCATGAATTTCCCATGGGTCCCACCTGACTGTACCCTCACCCCACATCCTTTCATAAAGAGAACAGCAATCCCTGTAGAAGGATAAGGTTTCCTGTGGACTCACCTGAGACATGGGCTATGAAGAAGGTACCTTATTATTTCCTATGGAAGCAAATACCCTGTCCACAAATTCTTGTCCACAAGGAAAAAGACAATGTGGTTCATTTCTTCTAATTATTTCTCTGCTACATACAATAATAAAGAGACTTCCAACAAAATGATTAGAAGTATAGAAAACATGGCTTATGAGGAAAGGGTGAAAGACCTATGGTTATTTAGTCTGAAGAAGAAAAGACAGAGGTGGGATTTGATAACATTGTTGAAATACCTGAAGGATGACTACCAAGAAATGAAGAGAAACTATTCTGTGTGGCCATAGGGAACAGGAATAGAAGCAATGGCCTCAAACAGCATCAGGAAATTTTAGGTTGGAGATTAGGAAGAACCTTCTGATTGAGATGGTCAAGCATTGGAACACAGGCTGCCTAGAGAAGCTGTGGAATCTCCATCCCTGAAAATTTTCAAGATCATGTTAGAGAGAGACTTGACTGGAACAGTTTAGTTAAAGATGATCCTACCTTGAGGAGGGGGCTGGACTAGATGACCTCATGAGCTCCCTTCCAGTGTTATGATCCTATGACACTGCTGTTTCTGGAAGTATCAGTCATTCTGTGTCATTTCAGTTCCATTTACTGATACAAATATAGCAAACTGGCTGCTAATCAGGATGGTGGTATCATCAATAGGTGTAATAACAATAGCTCTTAATTCATTACATTCTGTTTGTTCTTGTACTTCTAGGTCTTTGACAGAGTCCGAGAAGATTATCCTAATTTCCAAGAGAAGATTAAACCTATTAATGCAGAACTCATCCAGCCAAATCTGGCCATCAGCCCCAAGGACTCTGAGGAGCTCCTGTCCCAAGTCAACATTGTCTTCCACTGTGCAGCAACAATTCGTTTTGATGAGCCACTAAAGTATGTCCCTTCTCCGCTCTTCATTTCTCATAAGCAGAATTTAGCTTCTTCCTAGGGCATGCAAACTATATGCAAGAACAGCTATTATCTGTCTTTTATAACAGTGATAAATTCTTCAGATTTCCATAGGATTATAGAATAGTAGAATTGGAAGGGACCTTCTGAGATTATCTAGTCCAAACCCGAACCAGAGACAGAATCATCCCCATCCAAACCATCCTGTACAAATCCATTGTCTAACCTGTTAGTAAAACTACACAGTCAACCACGACGCAACTACAAGGCATGACACCCAACCTGTCACAGATAAGGTAGGGGACTTTGGTGGCCAGTGTCCTGCTGCTGCAAGGGTTATTAAAAAAAAACTTGAGAGATCCAAGGAAAAGGGTCATGCTCCCTGCTACAGAGGAAGGCAAAAACCCCACAGTCTGCACCAATCTATGGGGCAGAATTCCTTCCTGACCCCAAATATGGTGATCAGTCTGACCCTAAGTGGAGATGCAAGACCCTCTAGCCAGGAACATCCAGGTTTTAGTCTCAGCAGAAGCATTGACACACCCCAGTCAAAATCTCCAGCCTTGGCTGCAGCCAACACCCAATGCTTCCAAGGAAGGCAAAATAAACGAGAAGAAAAAAGAAGCCCGACACATGTAGCAAACACAGGGGATGAACAAAGTTGGTTCCTTTATTTGTAGCAACCAACGAAGCCCATAAGCAGGAGAGAGACCCATAGAAAAGCATAAGCATAGCGACTACTGGATCATCTCTGCCCAGTGCTTGTCCAGCCTCATCTTGAACACCTCCAGTAATGGAGATATCACAACTTCCCTAGGTAGTCTATTCCATTGGTTCACCATTCTAACAGTGAAAAATTTTTCCTGATATCCTACATAAATATACTTTGCTGCAGCTTCAAGCCATTGGTCTACTTTCTGCTCTCAGCAGCAAGAGAGAAAAGGTGTTTTCAGTCTTCTCTATGGAAGCCCTTCAGATATTTGAAGACTGCTATCATGTCTCCTCTTAAACACCTTTTCTGCAAGCTAAGCATACCTGTTTCCTTTAGCCTCTCAAAATGCACACAATACATTTTGGATTGGATGTACAATTTCAAGTTCTCACTTCAGTGACTGCTTAAATATCAGGTGCATGAGATCTTTTGTGTGTGTGTATGTATGTATGCATACACACTTCCCCCACACTCTGAGATTGATGTACCTTGGCAGAGTGGCATGGGAGCTCAGGACTGGACCAAAAGGGAGTTCAGTATAATCTGAATTTTTCACTTAGGCATGGTTTGATGCCAACTTAGTTTGCAACATATTGCTGAATTAAGAAGGAATCTCAACTACTTGCTGTTGTTTTATTTCAAAGGATACAACTTCTGCTATCAGCTGGAGCACATGCACAGCACCATGTAGCTGATTTTGGAGAAGTAGAGGCCCTTGAATTAATAACTTCAGCAAGCATGTAGAATACTTCCATAGTTCTGTACACCTGTTTCCTGAGGTGCTGTATACCCCTGGATATTTTGCAAATCCTCATCAGGTGGAGAGGAAATGGGTAAAGAGCCTAACCCAAAGAAGAATCCAGATTCAACTGTATTCCAAGTTAGGACTGCAGAGTTGTCATGAGGATCCAACACTGCCGTAGAAATGGGAGGTGTGGGTCAGGAGACAATGCTTTGACAGGGCTAGGTAGAGGAAGGTTGAAATGAGTCTGCTGTACCTTACTATAAAGCTAGTGTTATTGATGCTTCCTTTTCACTGAAAGTAACTCAAGGGGGAAATTACATTTTTGAAGCAGAGTATTGTAAGCATCATATTACAAAGAGATAAGGAATTTTAAAATATTCACCCAGGATTAAAATATTGTGTTCGTTATAACAAGGCATTTTAAAAACAAACTTTGTTTCCTAGAGGACTCCCTTGAGAAGCAAATGGTGGGTTTTTTGCTACATATTAAAGAAACAGTTCCTAACCCGCTGAAGTTTTAGTTTTTATTCAAGCATTTGAGCTTTGTTTTAATCAACATGGGGTTGTAATTATAAATCCAGGCCCCAAAAGAGATTACAATTCATTAATGATGATTACTAGATCCATCTGTCTGAGGCATTACATTCATTGCATCTATTTCACAGTCATGAGATTTTTCTCACTAGTTACTTCTGTTTGTAGTTAATTGTCCCATGGCTTACTGAGGGAAACTTCCCACTGACACTGTAAAAGTGAAATATGTCTTTTTTTT